GTTCAGATTCAATCTCAGGAGCGTACTGCCCCTGGTGCACACGGCGAGTATCCTCTTGGTTATTTACAAAGGTGCTTCTTTCCCTTTCTGTCACTGAAGGCATCAAATCATGCTATGGGAGAAGAAGATCCAGCTGACAAAAGAGATGCGTGCAGCGGTGGATTCCGAGACAGGACAAAGCGAAATCCAAGCCATGAGAACAGAGATTCACCGCATGCAGGTAAGCCCCTGGGAAAGAGGACTGAGGAGGGGAAGCTGCACACGACGTATTCGGCTTTGGAGCTGCTGAAGCATAGGGCAGGAGATGCGAAACGGGCTGGAGAAGCCGCAGCTGCAAGGCCACAGCAGTACTGGAAAGGTGACCAGCCGGCAGCTCGGCTGAGTGAAGGGCAGCCCGCACGCGTGCACTGCATGCACTCCTTGTGCGTGCGAGGCAAGAGGCTGCAGCAGAATCGAGATATACCCGAGAAATCTATTTAAAATGGAAGATGTCTGCCACCTTATCCTGTGACCCCAATTTAGGAATGTTCATTACTAAATATTGCATCATCTTAATCACTGCTTTAGGGAAGTCATCTACGTTCTGGCAAAGCAACTCTACCCTTTCAGTCTCGGGATGCTTCTGCTTTTGCTATTCTAACAAGTTCCAGTGAAACATTTTGCAGATTACTTCAGACAAGTTGATAATCCAGCCCTCTGCCTTCCAGATCAAGACAGGGCAAGCTAGGTTTGGGTTTAGAGCAAATTTGGCTTAAGGCTCACGTGTATCTGGCTTGTGTTGCTGGGGTGTGCCACACAGCAGACTTTGCTTAGGTGCCATTCGTAACCGTTCAGTATTTTCAGCCTATTTTGCATCTTGACAACTGGCAGGTCCGCTACAGCCGGCTGATGAAGCAGCAGGAGAAGATGATTTGTGATATGGAGGCATCTGTTTCTCGTAGAGAGGCGATAGCGATTCGTGGGGAGGGTCAGAACAAAACAGATAAGAAACGTATGACCAAGAGCGACTTCCACCGCAAGAAGCAGGAGCTGAGAAAGAAGATCAGTGAAACCCAGAAGGTGAGCAAGTAGAGCAGGGCTGCAGGAGTTCACGTAGCTGTATTCGCCTTGTACTGGGCACCAGTGCGCACTCAGCCCAGAGACACGGGGCACCAGTGCGCAGCCCTGCACCTGCAGGGTACAGCACTGCACAGGGGACAGGGCTTTGGAAACTCATTAAAATAAAGAGTTCTGGGAAGACGGCTGGGGATGCAGGTGAACCAAAGAGCCAGAATCTGCCCTTTCCTTCACTAGAACGCTGAAGACTGCAACAAAACCATCCTGGAGCTGGAGAGCGCCCAAGCGTCCCTTAGTGCCACCTTCTCAGAAAAGCAGCAAGAGTTGCGTGGGCTGCAGGCTGAGTCCGATGGCCTCTGTTCAGAGGCAGAATGCCTTCGGAACAAGAAGCGATGGGTGAGCACATCCGCTTCCTCGCAGCAGGCCAGCCAAACACAACCTGCTGCTTCCTTCTGTTGCCAGCTCCCCGTCTCTTTGTCTCACCCCTGTCCTGAGCTGGGCCTGCTTGGCATGTAATTTTAGCAGCACTTTCCAGTTCACCGAGCGCATTTTGAGGGCTCGTAGTGGTCCTGAGTTGATGCTGCTGTTGCACCCTTAGTGGGGCAGCATTCACCTGGAAACGTCAGCCTGAAGGACATCATTTGTATCCTGAAAACATGCGGTAACTGCTATCCCTCGTGAGCACCAGCTGGCTAGTCCTAAGTGTGTCGCAAATTTGAGAGCAAGCTCAAGGTCGTGAATGACCCCCTGTGACATTTTTAAGTTGGGGAAGCTCTGTCCTGGCAAGGGTTGCCTTGTGTGCGTGGGTATTTCTCTGACTGATGGAATTCCGGGATGCGTCTGTACCTCTGCAGCGCTCAGCATGGGGCTGCAGTTTGGCTGTTATAGCGGGGGCTGCGGAGCGGTCTCCT